TCAAAAAAAAAAAAAGTTTAAATAATTCCTACTGATTTTTTTGTGGGGGTGGAGGACTCAATTGCCTTTACTTCGTGACTTTTGGGTTTTTGCTTTCTACTATTGTTCGATACACATCACACTGAAATATATTTGCACATCCTACACCTTAGCCCACTGCAAAGTAAACTACCCTCGAAGCTTTTTGCTTTGCATTCCCTTCTGTTCAATATTCATGCGCTCAAGCTTTCCTGAATCACTCTGCAGTTACATGTGACAAACTTCTGAGTTTTGCTTCTGTGTCTTTCCCTTTATATGGTTTTCTAATAAATAATGCATTGCCGATTTCTGTCTCTGAATCCCATCGGAGACCCTTCCTGCATCTATGAACCCAGACTGTGTTATTTCTAATCACGATCTGTTTTCTTCTATTGGCCTATTTCTACTTCTTTGTGCTCTTTCTCCTACTATCTTTTATTGCAGGAAGTATTCTGTTTTCTTCTGCTTTTCAGCACATTTGGAAGGTGAACACATTCTATTTTAATCCTGTTAGCCATCAGTGAAACTGACTTAAAAACCGAATCTCCTCTGGTCCCCATTTGTTTCGTAAAAAGTCTACGCCAGCGATTATAATCTCAGTCCTGTGGATCCCAGGTCCCTCCTGGGGATGACGGGGTCTGGTCTCTACTCAGGGTTCTGGGGGGTTTCTGAGAGCAAGATGCTAGGCCTGCATGGGCCGACCCCACTGCCCCAGAGGAGAGAGTGCAGCGAGGCTGAGGGGGTGTCACCCTGAGCTGCTCACACACTACTCTCCCCTGCCTGCCTTCCGCTGCTCAGAGTCTTGAGCTTTTGTGTAGGCAGCTGAATATTGCTCAGTCCCTCCTCCTCAATTTACGATGCATTTCTCCATGACTACCGAACATTACTAGAATGAGAAGGTGAGACAGAGTTCAGAAATGGGTCTCACTGAACTCTGCTCGCTGCTGTGAGCACCTTCTCAGCTCAGAGCTCTCTGTTTCGCTGAACTGACCATTTTAAGTTTGTGGAACACACAGTCATCTGGACTGAGGAGATGAGGGCTTGTGTCTCTGTTGAGTGGCAGTGGCACAGCCCAGCAGGCTAAGTGGTGGTGGCCCAGGCCTCCAGACTCAGCCCTGGGAGGGAGGCTCTTACCTCAAACTGGATCAGCACTGTCCCGCTTTCGAGGCCCTTCTTGAGCTGCTCCATGGATCCCTCCAGAGTGTCCCCACCCTCTGGACACATGGGGAAAATGGCCTCGGGGAAAAGCTGGTTCAGTTCATCTTCGGGTTTGATGTCAGCAAATGAGTGGACAGCTGTAACGTACAAGACAGGGTGCATGTGGCTTGCGTAGCAACACTCCGGTTTATCAGTTTCCCTCACACAAATCACACTTATGACACCTGAATGAAGACTGTTTAAAACATCTTATTAAATGATTAAGCACGTGGTAATCATTTTCAAAGACACAATTCTAAGTGAGTGATTCAATATGTGTTAATTACACAAAACGACATGCTAATCTTTCTGGCTAGTTTTAAATGACGGTGTTTGGTACTGAGAGACTTCTGTTCACAGTGAAGAAAAAAGAAAGAATGTTTTTAAAGACCTCATATTTTCTTGCTCTCTCTGACCTGGTTATTCTTCGACCTATCCCTTCTTCCCGTTCCTTGGCAGGCCCCTTTCACTTACTCCCATAAAAGGGGCATTTCCCCAGGCACAGGGGGAAGTCCCAAGCTCTCCAGGTAACACCATTGTTCCTAAGAGCTCAGTCTCTGACTTGAGGCCATTTATTTCTACGTGGGAGGCTCGCTCATGAGTATCTCTAGTCCTCACGTCCCCTCTGTGCGTCAGCCCTACCTTGCCAGCCCTCCCTTCACGTCAAACTCAACAGAGGTCAAAACAAACCTAGACCCCCTTCTCTCGCACCTGCACGAGATTCCACCTCACTGGCCTGTGTCTACTGCCCCTTCCTTCGCCAATCTCTTAAGCTGGGAACCTGGGGATACGTTCTGAGTTTCCCTTCCCACTCAGAGAGGGAGCCACTCCCTTACTCAAAGACCCTCCATGGCTTGCTGCTGCCTCTACGACAGCAGGAAAGAAGAAGGAAACTAACAGTATGGGAGCTTCCCCGCGGAGCTGAACGGAATCCTGACAATTCTGAATGTGCAGCAGTTATCCCGTTTCGCAGATGGAGAAACGGACTCTCAGAGAGTGCGAACTGTTTGTCAGGAAGGCCGCAGCCTGTGGGGCTGGGATGGGGGAGTTCAGTTCAAGTCTATCCCCCGTAATGGCCACAGTCATTTCACTGACCACAGCAGCTCAGCTCTTTCCCTGTGACTTTCGTGGCTTCTGTCATCGGCTGTTTATCACTTTTCTTTAAATCGGTTCACATTTCTTACTTACGTGTTTATTTTTAAAATATGCATACACATTTTAAGAGCTGTCGTCTATGCGTTTCTGTGTGAAGCTGAATTAAGGTATGGTTACTGGTCAAGTGTACCTGGACATGCCGCATACATCCATTTCACTTGCGGTTCCTACACTTTTGGGGGAACAGTTCATTTTACTCCCAACAAGAGCACTTAAAATGTGTATACATGTTTTGGGCACCCCCAGTATATGCACTATCATCACAGTCACCAGAAAATCAGCAGCAGACACCCCTTTTTAGCTCTATTAGCCTATATACCTCAAACAGGTGGAGGAGGCCTCTCCCACTGGCCCCAGGGGCCCAGCATGCCACAGGGTGCATCTGTGTGATGTGGGGCCTGCTCAGATCATAATCACTGAGCCCTCCGCCCCATTATCCTCCAGCCCTACCAGTCATGTGGCAGTGGGGCAACTTACTCCACCTCTCTGTGACTTGGTTTCCCCCTTTCCTCATTTAGAGAGAATGACACTAACCTTTTTTGGAAAGCCAGGAGAGTTAAAGAGGAGAAGGACCTAAAGCAAAGAGGACAGCCTGAGCCACTTGACCAGCACTCCCGCCACTACTGGACACCTGCTGTGTGCCAAGCACAGCGCTGGGATTTGAAGGAGGGGAAGGGCTGGGGGCCCAGAGAAATCTGGAAAGACTTCACAAACCTTCCTTCACAGAGTAGGTGGGATCGGAGCTGTGCCCAGGTGCCCCGGGCTGAGTTCTAGTGGGAGGAGAGCTGAGGCAGGAGAGCCAGGGCATGGGGTGGGGGGCCAAGTCTACATGTAAGGCCAGAGCAGGGACGCAGGCCAGGGCTCTGCAATCCCATCCTGCATTTACCTCCAGTATTTTAAACCTGTGCAGGAGGCTCGAGGGGACTTGGCTGGTTACTTCATAACAACGATAACAACAGTAACGATGAATACCAGTGGCCACCCACCCCCGACAGGCGGTGTTCCAGGTGTTTTCCAGCTTAAGTATCATTAATCTTTACAACTACCCTGTGTGGCTGGGGTGCTGTTACCCTCCCTTTACACGTGAAGAAACTGAACTGCAGATTGAGCATATAACTCAAGGTCATTCAACCCACAGGAGGTGAGTTAGGAACCACCCATGACAACAAGGCTCACTCTCCTCAGTGCTGCTCTGACAATATAAAAAGCACATGAAGAGGCCGGGTGTGGTGGCGCACGCTGACAGTCCGAGGTGGGTGGATCTCTTGAGCCCAGGAGTTTGAGGTCAACCTGAGCAAGAGCGATACCCCATCTCTACTAAAAAGAAAAAAGTTAGCTGACATGGTGGTGGGCGTCTGTAGTCCCAGCTACTTGGGAGTTGAGCCCAGGAGCTGGAGGTTGCATTGAGCTATGATGATGCCACTACACTCCAGCCAGGGTGACAGAGAGAGACTCTGCCTCAAAAAACAAAACAAAGCAAAAACAAACAAACAAACAAACAAACAAACCCACTTGAATAAAATACAACCTGCTCCTCTGAGAAGGGGCAAATTACAAATGTCTACAGGGCCCAGCAGCTGAGAGAGGTGCAGGATGTGGCTGCACTGGGCCTAGAAGCCTGTGGGCTCATGTTCCCATAAAGGGCATGGATAGGAGGGTGGTGCTCCCTCCAGAACTCTGGCCACGAGGGGCCAGGCCTCATGTGGGCAGATCTTCACATTTCTCAAATGAGAAGCCAGACATTCCAGTTACTATGTTAAAATTCTTGATTTTCAAATGCTGGGTACAAACACAAGTTTCAAAAACACAGAACAGGCTGGACAAGGCCCTGCTGTGCTAAGGCAGCACCCCTGTGTCCCCGACCCCCACCCCCCGCCACAGGCAGCAGGGGCTGTTACCTCTCCTCCGGATGACCAGGGCCAGCTCCCGAGAGTGGGACTCGCGGCTGGCTTTGATGAACATCACCACTTGGTCATGGGTGTGCTCTGAGATGTCCCGGCCATTGATTAACACAATTTGATCCCCTTCGTTCAGCTTAGGAATGCAGGTGTCCGCCTGGGTGGAGGAGAAAAGTGAGTTTCATCTGTTACCATAACACAGTCCTCACGGGGAAGACGGCTGAGCGCTCTGCCCCCAGACACCTGAGACTGTGGCCGAGCCCGCCTTTTCTCCCTCAGGGATTATTGTCATCATTTTTATATCCTCTGTTGCATGGACATGCTAGCTGGTTGTGACTTTTTAAAGATGTGCTGCTCAGAATGCAAGTTAGGAAACATGTCAGGATAAGCCTAGGAAAAGGACTGAAGATGCTTTTCTGTGGCAGTGCCCTTCACTTGTTATGGTATAGTAAGGACTAAGATCTTTGGTTTTCTGGACTGATTTGCCAGCTAGACAGGAGGGTCTATCTTGCAACCGAGAAAGCTTTGGAAGCACAACACCAGAGGCAGAAGCAGTGAACTGAATGGATAGGAACGAAAGCTATCTTAACTTACAGAAACCACAAACAGTAGCAAATGGAAACCTGCAACCTTCAGGACAAGAGTAAAATCCCCAAATCGTTTGCTCTTAGGAGACATGGAGACTCCTTGATGCTACAGCTTTAGAAAAGCAAACGATCCAGAGGTAAGTATGGAAGGTGACGGAAATGTTGATGAGCCTGACTGGAGCAGTCATTTCTCTAGCTACTGGTATACCAAAACATGATGTACACCTTAATATGTGCAATTAGTAAATTAAAAAGAATCTAAAAAGCTAATGATCCTCTTAGGAGGCCCAAACAGAGGGCTGAAGAGGTGGCGTTGACAGCGAGGTAGTGAGAAGAGCCATGGGGTTCCCGTGGCCACTGCAAGTGAGCACAGCAGAAACACTCTGCCTCGGCGTCCTTCCCCTGAGCAGTGCTTCTCAAAATTTAATGTGCACACACATCACTCAAGGATTTTATTAGAAAGGGAATCTGGCGCAGTAGGCTGGGGCCAGAGTGTGCATTTCTAACGAGGTCCCAGGTGATCCCAGTGCTGCAGCTTTGGAGACTCTGCTGAACAGCAAGCTTCTAGAAAACTCGGATCCTACTCTTTCTTCCTGTCCGTATGCGGCATTTACACACATTCTCTGCTGCCAGCAAACAAAGAAACAGGACACAGAAAGAGACACCTGTTTAATTCAGGAGAAAACAAACACGGGCCGTAAGATGGAATGTGTGTACTTACAGGTGACTCTGGGTTTATCCTTGACACCACAAGAGGCATCTTTTGATCCACTCCTCCCTATAAACATTTTAAAGTAAAAAAAACATGTAAGTCATTCACAGCAACAAAGACATGCAGACACCAATAAATGCGAGTCTTCTGGCACAGGGGAGGCCTGGGACTTCATTATGGCCTATCAAACTTCCCATCCTGTCAGAAGCAGGGAGCGAGTTCCTGACCCCTCTGGATGTAGTGGGTCAACCACGGTAACTGTTCAGAAACCTCCCTTGGCCACCCCCAGATCCCACAAACTGAAGACACATTCCAGCTCCTTTTTTAAAAATGCAAACACCCCTAGGAAAAGAAGTCTACAAACTCATCTTCTAAGTGCTGCTGGGAAAGGGAGCTTTCAGTGGAGGCAAGCCAGGCCTTGGGAAATGTCACATGCACGCACACATCTGCCCAGTGCCCGGCCTCAGCAGGGACGCTGTGGTAGGGGAGGGTGTGCACTGGCTTTGTGCACCACAGCAGCTGGCGGTGCGCAGCAGAGACCACCTGCCCACATTTTGTTCTAAGCAGAGGTGGGTACACTCTCTGTAAAGGGCCTGTGAGGCTTTGTGTTACAACTGCTCAGCTCTGCCACTGGAGTGCCAAAGCGCCACAAACCTACCTGTAAGTGACTGAGTGTGGCTGTTCTATAAAATGATTTACAAAAACAGGTGGGATCTGGCCCATGGGCATGGTTTGCAGACCCTACCTAGAGGTGCCCTACCTAGAGGAGGGTGGTGGCCCTGCAGCTTGAACTGCTTTATCAGCTTTTGCCATGCTGAAGGGTTATGTCAATAACCCTCCTCAAGTCAGTAAATCTGTCAACTGTATAACTTCATCTCTCTGAGTCTCGGTATTCACCCATGGAATGGGTTTAAAAACACTGACCTCACTGCTCACTATGGGAATTACCCACTCCCCCCTTTTTTTTGAGACAGTCTCACTCTGTCACCCTGAGTAGAGTGGTGTGGCGTCATAGCTCACAGCAACCTCAAACTCCTTGTCACAAGAAATTCTCTTTCCTCAGCCTTCTTGTCACAAGAAATTCTCTTTCCTCAGCCTCCCAAGTAGCTGGACTACAGGCACCTGCCACAACACCTGGTTAGTTTTTCTATTTTTAGTAAAGATGGAGTCTCACTCAGGCTGGTCTCAAACTCTTGAGCTCAAGCGATCCACCTGCCTTGGCCTTCCAGAGTGCTAGGATTATAGGAGTGAGGCGCTGGGCTTGGCCTCACTAAGGGAATTCAATAAGTCGATAAACCTTGGGCACGGGGCAGGCACAGGGCAGGCACTTGGCAGTCGTGAAGGCCACATTAAAAAATCTCCCAATACTGAGGTCTGTGCTAATTTCCTTGTGTAGCTTAGGCATGCAGCACACTTCTAATTGAAATTAAAAATTAATCTAAAGATTGCTTCATGCACAAAACTTCCTTACAACATACCTTAAGGTTAAATCCAAATTTTCCATCTTCATCTGGCGTGATACGGATCAAGACTAAGTAGCTGTCACCATTATCATTCTGGAAAACATTTTAAAGTGGTCATTTACTTCCCTAACTGTTGGAGATAAGATATTTTCTTCTGGTCATAACTACTGAGTTGCCCACAGGGGAGGGGCAGGGAAGCCTGGGTGGGTCACCTGGTGACTCCTGAGCTGCAGGACCCGTGCTCACTCACCTTGTCACAGTAATACTGGCTGGCATCCTCGGTGGAGCCCCCCTTCGTCACCCTGTGGTAGTCCTCTAAGAACTGCTGATCGACACCATCAGGTGAGCAGGAGCTTGGAGCATTTGAAGATGGAGACACAGAACTGGATGACTTCTGGGTCAGGTAGCCGTATGCCGGGTTGTTCTCCGATAAACTCCTTCATCACGGGGGAGGAGGAGATACTTTAATAACTGGGTTAATATTTTATTAGAGCAAACATTACTGACTGTTGCAGCCTGGCATCTGAGGGGTGTACATATCCCCCGGAAAGTTAGAGACCTGCAAAAGTCACTCACAGGGCTGGGGCACACCTGGACCCCGCTGGCCAATCCAGCCCTCATCTGGCCCAACCATCATCGCATTTGGTTTTAGAAAAAAGAGACAGGAGGCAGGGCAGATCCAGGAGCTGCTGAAAACTCGGTCTCCTTTCTGCTGCTTTAGAAGGGTGACAGGGAAAATGTGTCCAGCTACTCTGGTGGCTACTGACCCATGAAAACTCACACAGATGCACGACCCCTGTTCCTTGAACCTTTTCTCCTTCCATCTCCTTCCTGCTGATGAGTCTGCTTCCTAGGACTGTCAGCTACCCTAAGGGAAGGTGACTACTGCTGCACATTCACAATAGTTTATATTACTCCCGGTTGGCATCATTAGCCTACGACATCCAATTAGTTACCTACATTAAGGCCGTATGTTTTATTTTTCTTTACTATAGGTCCTTCTGTGTCTTAGAACTGCATTGTCCAATATGGTAGCCGCTAGTCACATGTGACTACTTAAATACAAAAAAAGGAAGAAGAAAAACTTTGTTTCCTTAGTTGTACCAGCCCACCTCACACACTAAACAGCCACAGGTAGCTACTGGGTCCTGTACTGACAACTGGCTCCATTCTGTGATGACGGGAATGTTACAGAACATCTCCCATCACTGCAGGAAGATCTGGGTGGCACCACCGTAGAGAATTACAGGTGATTAGAGCTGAACAGACTTCTGAAAGTCACTCGTTCCAACTACCACTTCACAGATGGAGAAACTGAGGTCAAGAGGGGCTGGGCGACTCACCAAGGTCACACAGCTTTCCCCTCACTTAGATGAAGTGCATGGGTCCAGAGCCTTTCCCTTCCAGGCCGGGCCGAGTCTGCTCCTGAGACCCCCATTTCTGACCTCACAGGACCACAGGCCTTAACCGTCCCTGCTGTCACTGTGCAGGGCGCATCTCTGCACCACCCACACTAGCCCCTGCCAGAGCTGCAGGCCTGGCAGGAATGCCGTAAAAGGCCGACTGACTTGGGGCTCCTCTGTGCATCCTGAGCGCCTGGCCCATCCTAACCCCGGCCCAGGTGCGGTGACAGCAGAAGTGAGGTGACAAAGACTCTGGGGAAACGGATAAGACAGCTGCCACTGCCTCTTTTGCAACCTTTATTCCAAAGCCTTATCCATGAATTCTTCATTAAATTGGTGCTTCTGTTTCCTAGTGATTTCAAATTAGCTTAAATATATAATCTGTATCATATTCACACAGAATGAGTCACAGTCTCAACTAATTTGAATACAATACTCAGCGACAAACCAACGTGGGGACACAGCTAAACACAAGAGGGGGGTGTGGCCTGCGGTTTCCGTGTTGCTAACTGAGGGAAGGGTGTGATGGGTGGGAAGGCGTTTCATCAGAGAGGGGGCATTTTGGAATTGAAGTTCTTTATAAGTAGTACGTTTCAGTTGTCTGAAAAGGAATGAGACTTTAATTTACATAAACGGAAGCTTAAAAAAATTCTCCTCAAAGAGGACAACTTTGCTAGGTTTTACTGTTTACGAGTGCACCACCTAGTGGCGGAAAGGGCAACTGCTTGGTGGTAGCTAAAACAAGCTAAAATGCTACTTGGCGGTTCTAAGATGGCCTTGACCCTTTAACATGGAAAGAGCTGCAAACAGCCACACTTCATATGTTTGGAAGAGTCCGAAGGGTGGGTGACAGCAATAGAAAAGGTGAAGGGCATGTAAACAAAAAAACACAAAGGTGAGGTGATAAAGCAGAAAAGATCAGACTAATTTCAGCGAAATTATTTTATCTTATACTCATTTACATTTACTTAATTTTTAAATTTATCATATGAGGTTTTAAAGTATTTTCCTTTTCCAATATAAAACTTAAGGGTCTAACAAGCCCACAGTTGTAAATGATAATAGTACTACCACCACTAGTATTAATACTATAGCTTGTCCCCCAAATTACCCCTGAAGTCACCACACACAGGGAAAATGAGAAATTGTAGATAAATGTACCTTTATTTATATTCTTTATACACTGGCCATCTCTTTGTAAAATTTTATAATGAATGTTTTATAAATAAAGGTATATTTGGCTACAATTTCCCCACATATGGTGACTTTGGGGCAACTTTTGGGACACACTGTTTTCTAAGTAGGGTTGGAGAGTTTACTTATAGACAGTAATTTGTGTAAACTAAAGATGGATTTGGGGGCTGATCAACTGTGTACAGAGCTTCCCTGTGGGGCACAGTGACATTCTGTTTAGTGCACGGGATGGATTTCTAATCATGAGAGCAGGACGCTGTGGGACACGGTCCTGGGAGGCTGGGGGTGAAGATGTCAGAACAACAGGGCCACCCTCTCGCTGGGGCAGGACGCAGGTGCTAAAGAGGAAGGGCCTGGTGGCGGGGGGAGGGGGGGGCTGTCCCATGGAATTGAGGAGGAGAGAGCACAAGAGGTTTCTCCCTGACATAGGAGAGGGCACTGAGGAGGACTATCACTATTGCCTGAGAGCCAGAGTAGCCAGCATGAGACTGGCCACACCCTGGCCCCGGGAAGAAGACAGGCAGACGTGAGCAGCACACTGACTTGTCAGGCAAACAGGGGTCACCCTCGGAAAACAGATGCTTCAGAATTGTAAAGGCAGCAGGTTTCAGAACAGAAGCCACGGGAGAATTCATCTGATGAGTGGTAATGTTAAAAAAAAAAAAAATCAAATGGCAGAACTGCGAATGAAAGAAAGACTCCTACAAAATTATAAAGACACCTCCCTACCTGTCAAAGGGAGCAGAGTCATGCTCCCATACTGCTGTGTGACAGAATAAGGACCTTCTTTTGGTTCACGTTTCTTTCTCAAGTCTATGAGCTTCTCAAGGTCAAGAGAGATCCTAGTTCTCTTTATTCCTCTCCTAGTGCAAGGAACACAAGAGCAAGTGCTCGATCAAATGCTCAGTGAATGAAGAAAAACGCTTTGCCCAGCTGCCTGGGATTAGCTGAGTTACTCTAAAAGACCGTGGGATTTACTGGAGCACCTGGAGGCTCAAGTGCAAAGAGAAGTGGGTTCACGGTTCTCAGCACTGGCAGGATCACAGCGTCTGAGAATGTACCTGGCACAATAATCACCTGGGATCCTGTTCAATGCAGACTGACTGAGC